CTCACAGATTCGCCTTTAGCACCTTTCTCTCCCTTCGGTCCCTGGAATTGGTACGTCAAAGAATTTATTCGTTAAGTGACGGTCGTGCCTCTCTTCGTTTCTTTTCTACATGCACGATACGTATTGTATAGAAAAGAACTTTTCTATATTATACAATTTCTCTATGCGAAACTTGCTCTCAAATGGCATACAACATGTGACTACGATCACAAATGCGTGAAACTAATAATTAATGTTAAAAGAAGCAAGCATTGAAAGCTATAAATTGATTAAACTCGTTTTGCTTTAATTTTTATGAATATGATCATCGGTTTGTTTTTCTTTTTCTTTTTTTTTTTCTTATCAGTTTTGTACATTCTTAGAGAATTTGAATATCAAAGTGGAGAGGATTGTGCGCTTCTCCCTCTCTTTGAGATTTAATTAAATTTTGAAAATAATTTCTTTGAAAATAAAAGGTTAATTTTTATCAAGCGAAAGAATTCTATTGAACAATTTTAGAAATTGGAAATTTTTTAATCGGTTTGATAATTTTCAAAAAAATTTCCATAAAAAGAACGATAACCCGGAGAATGCATATGTACAAAACACGCATAGCTTTCTAGTCTTTAAAATTGTCACTTTGACGTAAATATATATACAGTGATCTGTTTTATTAATATTCTGACATGACATGTTATTGAATTGATTGTTTACTATACTATGATTTATACGAAGAATAAATTTATTCGACTTATTTTTTTGCTATGCGATAAATTAAATAATGGCAAAATTTAATAAAAATTTAATAAACGTTGGATTATATTCAATTTATTTTATCATTAATTTAGAATGTAAATTTTATAATATAATTACAAAATTTACATAAAAATATTATTTAACTTTCGTCATATTCAATTTATTGTTTAGTACACAAAGAATTATCAATTAAAAAAGTATTTATTAAAAAACAATCAATGAAAAAAGAAAATGTCTGAATATTAACGATGAATCACTGTTGTACACAAAAACTTGACTCTTTAACAAATAATATCTCTGACTATTAATTCCATCTTATATTCTTTTTGACATTGAAAATTTTCTAATTTTTTAAAAATTTCTCTCTATTTTTTATTCGATGGTAAAAACACCAAAAAATGAAAATTATTCGAATTACCTTAACAAAATTTAAATGCTCGATCGAACAGATTACTATTGTTCACTACTTCGTAACAAGATAAAAAAAGAAAAAACATTTCCAAATGGCAAATACTACGAAACCAAAAAGAGAATAAAATTTTCGAAATAAATTTTGAAGTAGCAATAAATAATCGATAAAATTTGCAAGAGTAAAGGGATGATCGTGCAACATCTTTGGTGTTAAAGAGGGAGAAAGGCGCAAAACTTTTAATTTCAGCCCCCTCCTTTTTCGTGCAAAAGAAGTAAAGAGACGAATTTTGGGGCAGTCCCCGGGGTAGATCAGGCAGATGTATCGTCGTTACCCCGGGCTGGTTAGACTGTGTCGCAGTCACACCGAGGGGCGAGCGATAATCGAATGCCACTGTACCTCCGCGCCAGGAATTCCATCGGTACCCTGGGGATAAACAGAATGTGTCGTTGGGTGTCTCGACGACATCGTAATCGAGTTTCAGCTCGGATGAAATATCGCTGTTCACGGTTAAATAGTTAGATCGGACATCGAGCCGTTTTGATAATAAGAGGATTGGACAACTTCGAACTTCGTGCTATGATAGAGTTTGTAATTGTTGGGAAAATATCGTAAAATGGGGTGAATGGAAATAGAAAGAAAATTTTAGCAAAAAAAAAAAGAAATAATAATCTTTTTTACGATCCCTTATTTATTTAATCTCCTTTTTTTTAAATATTCGAATAACTTTCAATTTCTCATACAATAGGAGTAAAGTAAATTTAAGAATCTTGCAAATTTTGCAACACATTTTGATTTTTTAATTTTTTTAAATTTTTTCAAAAATAAAAAATCAAAAATATAATACTCTATTAAAATTAGAAAAACTTTAGAATTTTCTTATTCTTTAAAATAAATTTTTCATTTATTCTAATACGATTTCCGGTTCCTGTGAGATTATTATCTAAAAGAAAAATAATTTTTAATTCATTTACCTTAAATCCAATTAAATTTTATTAAAATTAATAAAATTTTAAACCGTTATAATTCCGAAAATAGTAACTTCCGGTTAACGAATGAACGATTATTAGAGGCGCAGAATCTTCCTCTTTAAAATACTTTTTCATTTATTTCAATACGACTTCCGGTTGCCGAGATATCGTCGTTCAAAGAAAAAGATAATTTTTTATCGTTTATCTCCATCGTTGTCATTTATTCGGATCTTTCGCTCGCACGTCTTTGCCGAGTTATCGCAATGTACCTTAGAAATTCTATTAAAATTAGCAAAATTTTAAATCGCTATATCTTCGAAGTTAATAATTTTCGGCCAACGAATGAACGATCATTAGAAGCGCAGAACTTTCCTCTTTAAAATGCTTTTTCATTTATCCCGATACAATTTCCGATTGCCGAAATATCGTCGTGTAAAGAAAAGAGTAATTTTTCGTCTTTATTATTTTTATCTTTGTCACTTAGTTTCATATCTCTCGCACTCGTCTTAATGACCCATTTTAAACTTTAGACAAATAATAGCCCTGGTTCTTAGAAAAATATATTCGTGGAAGGCCATAGTATGCAGGAAAAAAATGTATGTCACTGTGTCATAGTTCCATTCATTTTCGCATCTCTATAGAAACTTTTTTATCTCCGATCGAAATATCGAGATGGAACAAAAAGAAATATCAAAGTTTCTTCAAAGTTTTCTGAATGTATTTTAATGAATACTAAATTTGAATACTAGCTACATAAAAATTCATGATCTAATTACATTTATTGTCAAGTTAGTCGAAAGATTAATAAAGATATTTTTTATTCACCCCATTTTACGTTAATTGAAACGTTATTTGGTAAATTTTGAATTAAAAATGGTTTTTTTTAGTAACAAATATTA